CTTTCATCCATCACCCATTAGCAGTTTAGCATTAAATCCTTCTATCAATTATGAATTAACACTAAACAGCCTACATGCCCCATAAGAGATCATAGTAATCTAAAAGAATAGTACTTGAAACGATATGCCTTAGAAAGAGATAACAGGGTTTAACCTAAAAGAATAATACAATACTTGGGTGGATATGCATTAGAAATAGATAACATGGTTTAGAACTTATGTATTTGGTTTATCTGGGACAAAACCCCGCTCGAAGGAGTCTAACTCGTGTTTGTGATACCATCAACTAGTACTAGTACCAGCTTCTCACCTACTCCCTCCGTCCATGAATAAGTGTACATCTAGTTTTGTTCTAAGTCAAAGTTTTAGAATTTTGACTAACTTTATAGAATATAGTAGTAACATATATGACATCAAATTGGTATATTGTCAAAGTACATTTCAAAGCGGATCTAGTGATACTAATTTAGTGTCATAAATGCTTTTACTTTTTTTAGAAAATTGGTCAAAGTTTTAAAACTTTGACTTAAAACAAAAACTAGATGTACACTTATTCGTGGACGGAGGGAGTAATGTGTTCTTCTTTGGAACGAAAATTGAAATGCGTCATCTCCATCCAACACTAATGTCATATTAATTGCAACATTTATAACTGACAGATGCACCTTTTTGCATGCAAATGCAGATGACATTAATTGAGAATATTGACTCTGTGTGCACAAAAGAGTAGACCACCACCGTGTATCATTGTGTATTGGATATGTACCCGTAACCGACAAATTCATTAAGCTTTAAATGCAGGCATGCATCTTAATGCAGGAACTCACTAACGCAGTTTTTTTAGAAAAGGAGGATGACCCACGGCCTTTGCATCTGGGCAATGCATGTGACCACTGTATTAATTATTCTCACAAGACCTTATAAAATCATACAACAGTAAGGCTAAAGTCACTGTCCAAGCAACAATTGTCGCTACACCTATCCAATTGATGAAGGGGCGCTGATAGCCTGGGCCTAATACCAAACAGACATCGCAGCCAGACCTAACATGTAAGAGCTGAGATCCCAACCAGGACGCCTGCCGGGTATGGGAACCCACCAGTCCGGCGTGCTTCTCAATCAGGACGCTTGCCGGGTGTTAGAGTTGTGTCGAATATTATTGTACAAGGTAGGTTACAGTTGGATTTGTAGTTGTATTGTGTTTACATAGGATGTGGAGTCATGTCCTAGTAGGACACTTGTATCTTAGGCCTCTCATATATAGCGGGGGTAGACACACGATGTAACCTATGCCAACATAATAGCACAGGAACGCAGGGGAAGCTGGCGGCATGTGCCGGCGTCCAGGGCGACCTGGTGCGGTATTGTAGCGGTGTCATGGGGAGGAGCACCCATAGTCAGGCCCCGGGGATGTAGCCATATCGGTGAACCTCATTAACAAATCTCGGTGTTGTGCTCGTGTGATTGCTTGGTCCTCGGATGATCAACGGTATGCCTTGGATTTATTCTAACACCGGGTATGAGGCCACCGCAGCCACTTGCTAGCAATCCATCTTCAGAGCTATACTGCTGCATCAACCTTGTCCGATCTAGCTGCCGCCGACGCCACCACGACGCCAGACAGTGTCGACCACTTGCACGTGTCCATCACCACACATCTGACGTCAAGCCTCCGCTGCTCCATGCCGCCAAGAGCCGTCACCATGAATATGTAGAAAGAGACACCGCTTCATCGAAGAAGCCATCCGCTGGTCCCTCGAACCCGAGTGCATCTCCAAGAATGCCGCCCCCAAGGGGGTAACGACGCATTAATGCCGCCATCATGCGATGAATTGATCTAGGGTTTTCCTCGGAGGTATCAGGGTGCTGCACCTGCGAGAGCCATTCGTCCACCTCCTACTTCTTATGTGATTCACAAAAAATAAGTAAGTCTATATATACAACATCACTCATCGATGGCCCCATTCGAGGTGCATATTTACACGAAAAATCACACATCAGCGTCCTCGATTATTGGTCATATACTCTGATCCATTACTTTCATTCGTATACCTAGTGGCAAACTACAACAAATTAACCAAATTCGAAATCAAATAAAACAACAAAGAAAGTACGAAATGACCTACCAAATCAGTACTGGCGAGTACCGTATAGCTAATTAATCCTCCAAGCAGTTAACAAACATTAATGATCTATATGGCCGGCCGGCCGGCTTGCTAGTTGTAAGGGTAGTGGCCAAGCCGGAGCTCCAAGTCCACGTCCTCCCTGCTGTCCCCATCCCTTCCCAAGGTAAGCCCCAAGTGAGCCTGATTCCCACCGGCACCGTCTTGCTGGCCGGCAGCCGGCGGCGCAGCCCCACGAGACTTGCCTCCGCTGCCACCGCGGTCCTTGCGGTGGATGTTCATGTGCCCGCCGAGCGCCTGCGCGTTGGTGAACCCCCTCTTGCAGAAACTGCACTCGTAGTATGCCGGCGCCCGCCTTGACCCGCCGGTATCCTCTGGCGAGCCGCTCTTGTGGAAGTCCCCTCCCTCCATATTCTGCTTTCAAAAGTTACGAGTCGGTGTTTGTTCGGAGCTTCTAGGGTTTTGGGTAGTAACTACCAAGTTAGGAGAAATGTGTTGAGGCAACAAGGGCAGGTGTGCTATATAGTGACAGATAGAAACGGCTGCTACTCCAGTTGGTAGCGTCGGGGAGGCCGGGGGCTGATGGACATGGCTTGATTTGTCGTCTAGTTTTGGCGTTTGGACGGAACCACGATCGAGTAAACTACTCGGCCGGCCGGCCGGCCGGCGCTCCCCTTGCCGCCCTCGTTGGCGAATACAGCACAACGCTCTTGTTTGGCGTGGCGTAGGGATCGGCGAGAATGCCAAGTTAGTTATACAGATGGGTGCGTACGTCAGTGCGTGTTGCCGTGACAGTGTTAGGGACCAACTCACTGTCTCACAAGCTTACAGAGGAATTCTTCTCAGTAGCGATTCGAGGGAGTCTTGAGGAGGAAGGTGTACAGAAAGGGGAAAAGATACAAGTTCAGCCGCCGCCGCCGTGTTTTTTTAGGCAAGAGTATATTTTTTTGAGGCAAGAGTATATGTAGATGGCTAAATCCTATTCGGCGCCCTCTGCGCCCGTTACAGTACTATCTGCAAACGGGCGCACACCCCCTATCCTTGCTGGGCCGGCCCATCTAACTTGTTTTTCTTCTGTTTTTCCAAAAAAGAGAAAAGAGACCTCCAGTGCTGCGATTCGAACCTGGGACTTCCTATCTAATTGTAAAGGGAAACGTTTAACGCCGGGCGACCGGCTAGAAATTGGGCCGGCTTCCTTCCACTCTTGTTGCCTCGTGCTAGCTGTGGACCCACTCTTTCCTTTCTTCGCACGGAGCCACGAACGTGTCCCTCTCTTTCCTTATCCAGTTGCTACCAGGCATCCTTATCCTGTCGCCCACCCATCAAATTCACCACCATCGTTTTCCTCATCCGAGCTTCTCCCCGGCTCCCACCACCATCTCTTCTCAGTCCACCGTCCCCCACCTCCCCATCCCGCTCAGGTGTGTCTGCATTGGAAGCGGCGGCGCGGTGCAGTGAGGTCGCAAGGTGAAGCATGCTGCTACGAGGTCGAAGCCATGGGGGCGCTGCTATGAGCCGTCCCTAACCATGAGAGCTGCTCCGAGCGGCACAACATCCTGAGACCATCGGGCATCGGCTCGAGCGATGCTACAAACAGTTAGCGCGATGCTGCCGGTGTAGCCCCTGCTACAACTGGTGTCACCACTACTAGAACTCTCCGAAGCCGGCCACGGTGACCATCGATGCAGAAAGTTGCAACCACCTCTGCACGGAGCTGGAACCGCGGCGCTGAAAGCTACAACCACTGTCGGGGAAAGCAGCAACCACCAGCTAGTTTTGCATTTTTTTTGCTACAACCGTTTATTTTTCTGCTGGAAGCATCACCGTTTTTTGCTACCGCCGGTGCTTTGGGTTTCCTAGAACCAGCGCCCGATTTTGCCTTTTTGCTACCACCGGCATTTTGGTTTGCTGGAGCGAGCTTCATTTTTTGCTACCACCGGCATTTTTTATTTGTTGGAACATTGTTCAATTTGTAATTTTTGCTACCACCATTTTTTTGGTTTGCTGGAACCAGTGCCAATTTTTGCTACAATCGTTCACGAAGAAGTTTGTGGCTGTGCAGAGCTACAATGGTCACCACAACATTTGGATCCATGGTCACGGCAAGCTACAGCAGTCACCGCACCGAGCTGGAACCCTGGTTGCGCTTTGCTGCATCTGAAAGGATCGAGATGGACCTAGAGGGGGGTGAATAGGTACAATTGCAAATTTTAATTGTTACTTAGCAATTTTAGGCAATAATGCGGAATATGAAAGTGAGCCTAAAATTTGCAAGTGTGACGCTAAGAGCTAAGCAAGATAAACAAGTAACACAAGTATGTAAGTAGGCAAGCACAATATGGTATAAGTAAATGCTAAGAGACAAGTAACCACAAGCAAAGAGTTAGGGTTAGGAATAACCGCAACTCCGGGAGACAAGGGTGTATTCCGATGTTCACTTCCTTGGAGGAAGCTACGTCACCGTTAGAGAGGTGGATGTTACCACGAAGGCACACCAATGCCACGAAGGCTCGCCCTATTCTCCCTTTGAGACAACACTACGGAGGCGTTTCTCAACCACTAGTGGTAGACCTTGGGGTGGTCTCCAAACCCTCACAAACCATTTCGGGGGTAACCACAATGGTCGATTCCTCTCCGAAAGACTCCTACCACCTAGGAGTCTCCAACCTCCAAGAGTAACAAGAACGATGGGAAAAGCTCAAGACTTGCTCAAATCACGATTCCTTTGGTGCAAAGAAGGGGAAAGAGTGGATCTATCACTTGATCAGACAACTTCTCTCAAATGCTCTCAAATCCCTTGGGGATCTAAGATTTGGTGTGGAGGAGTGAGAGAGAGAGAGAGAGTGAAATGTATTCTTAGCAAGCTCAAAGTGAATGGTCAACCTTATCCCGAAGTGGAAAAGTAACCGTCTGAGTCACTTAAGTGCACTGTAGAGGTCGGACATCCGGACAGGACCGGAGTCCGGTGGCACAGATAGGTCTGATAACCCACAAGTATAGGGGATCGCAACAGTTTTTGAGGGTAAAGTATTCAACCCAAATTTATTGATTCGACACAAGGGGAGCCAAAAAATATTCTCAAGTATTAGCAGCTGAGTTGTCAATTCAACCACACCTGGAAACTTAATATCTGCAGCAAAGTGTTTAGTAGCAAAGTAATATGATAGTAGTGATAATGGTAGCAAAAGGCAACAGTAGTAAAAGTAATGTTTTTGGTATATTTTGTAGTGATGATAGCAATATCAACGGAAAAGTAAATAAGCGAAGAACAATATATGGAAAGCTCGTAGGCAATGGATCAGTGATGGAGAATTATGCCGGATGCGGTTCATCATATAACAGTCATAACCTAGGGTGACACAGAACTAGCTCCAGTTCATTGATATAATGTAGGCATGTATTCCGAATATAGTCATACATGCTTATGGAAAAGAACTTGCATGACATCTTTTGTCCTACCCTCCCGTGGCAGCTGGGTCCTTACGGAAACTAAGGGATATTAAGGCCTCCTTTTAATATAGAACCGGAACAAAGCATTAACACATAGTGAATACATGAACTCCTCAAACTATGGTCATCACTGGTAAGTATCCTGATTATTGTCACTTCGGGGTTAATGGATCATAACACATAATAGGTGACTATAGACTTGCAAGATAGGATCAAGAACACTCATATATTGATGAAAACATAATAGGTTCATATCTGAAATCATGGCACTCGGGCCATAGTGACAAGCATTAAGCATAGCAAAGTCATAGCAACATCAATCTCAGAACATAGTGGACACTAGGGATCAAACCCTAACAAAACTAACTCGATTACATGATAGATCCCATCCAACCCATCACCGTCCAGCAAGCCTACGATGGAATTACTCACGCACGGCGGTGAGCATCATGAAATTGGTGATCGAGGATGGTTGATGATGACGATGGTGACGGATTCCCCTCTCCGGAGCCCCGAACGGACTCTAGATCAGCCCTCCCGAGAGGTTTTAGGGCTTGACGGCGGCTCCGTATCGTAAAACGCGATGATTTCTTCTCTCTGATTTTTTCTCCCCGAAACTCAATATATGGAGGTGGAGTTGGAGTTGGAGAGGCAACAGGAGCCCACGAGGGGGCGCGCCCCCCGCCCTCGTGGCAAGGTGGTGGGCCCCATGGCCTTCATCTTTTGCAGGTATTTTTCTTATTTTCTGAAAAGTGGCTCCGTGAAGTTTCAGGTCATTCCGAGAACGTTTGCTCCTGCACATAAATAACACCATGGTAATTCTGCTGAAAACAGCGTCAGTCCGGGTTAGTTTCATTCAAATCATGCAAGTTAGAGTCCAAAACAAGGGCAAAAGTATTTGGAAAAGTAGATACGTTGGAGACGTATCAACACCCCCAAGCTTAAACCTTTGCTTGTCCTCAAGCAATTCAGTTGATAAACTGAAAGTGGTAAAGAAAAACTTTTACAAACTCTGTTTGCTCTTGTTGTTGTAAATATGTAAAGCCAGCATTCAAGTTTTTAGCAAATATTATAACTAACCACATTCACAATAACGCATAGGTCTCAATTTTACTCATATCAATGGCATAATCAACTAGCAAGGCATAATAATAAATCTCGGATGACAACACTTTCTCAAGACAATCATCATATGATATAACAAGGTGGTATCTCGCTAGCCCTTTCTGAGACCGCAAAACATAAATGCAGAGCACCTTTAAAGACCAAGGACTGACTAGACATTGTAATTCATGGTAAAAGAGATCCAGTCAAGTCATACTCAATGTAAACTAACAATAATGAATGCAAATGACAGCGGTGCTCTGCAACTGGTGCTTTTTAATAAGAGGATGATGACTCAGCATAAAAGTAAATAGATAGGCCCTTCGTAGAGGGAAGCAAGGATTTGTAGAGGTGCCCGATCTCGGTTTTGAAACAGAGGTGAATAATATTTTGAGCGGTATACTTTCATTGTCAACATAACAACCAAGAGATGGCGATATCTTCCATGCTACACACATTATAGGCGGTTCCCAAACAGAATGGTAAAGTTTATACTCCCCCTTCCACCAACAAGCATCAATCCATGGCTTGCTCGAAACAACGAGTTCCTCCAACTAACAAGAGTCCCAGGGGGAGTTTTGTTTGCAATTATTTTGATTTAGTTTGCATAAAGCATGGGACTGGGCATCCCGGTGACCAGCCATTTATCTCGTGAGTGAGGAGCGGAGTCCACTCCTCTTGAGAATAACCCACCTAACATGGAAGATACGGACAACCCTAGTTGATACATGAGCTATTCGAGCATACAAAACATGATATTTATTTGATGGTTTAGAGTTTGGCACATACAAATTTACTTGGAACGGCAGGTAGATACCGCATATAGGTAGGTATAGTGGACTCATGTGGAATAACTT